TATCTATCTATCTATCTATCTATCTATATATATATATATATATATATATATATAATAGCTTTGTCATTTGTTGCTCTTTATTCTCAAACAGATGCCAGAATTTAGAGTCGAAACGTTAGGAGATTCTTTCCCTGAGTGTCTGTGGTTTAATCGTCTGGTGTCGGTCTAATCTGCTCCGATACAGTAACCCGGGTCGGAGTACGGAGTCTCGTCGTGTTTTTCGTGTGCGTCTGCACTCCGCGCATTTAAACGACGTGTGATGACGCAGAGGCCGCGTCACGCGTTTCAGGGGTGGATTAAACGACAAACCCTAATTGGACGCCCATGGCGATGACGCAGTTTTCCGTACCGTTCCTTTTATTCGTATTTGGAACGGGGCGGGGCGTTCTTACAGGGGAATTTGAGAGGAAGTTTAATGGAACTCTAATCAGAAAGTAAAAGAGAGCCCAAGGAATTCCCTGGACTCTCTGTAAATTAGTTTCTGTTACATGATCTTCTTTCTGATATAAAATCAGATATTGTCTTATATAACTGACTCAAATCAATAACCTTACTTGACATTTTCTTCTGACCTCAGTGACCTGTGCGATTCTTTATCAACCCTTATACAACCAGAAATCAATCACAGACAGAACAAAACACCAACCAAAACAATATCATTGACGGTAGTATATTGATTTGAAATGTTGAACTTCAAAAAACAAAATCAAATATAGGCTATGTGACCCTGGACCACAAAATCAGTCATATAGGTCAGTTTTTTTAAAATTGAGATTTATACCTCATCTGAAAGATGAATAAATAAGTTTTTCCATTGATGTATGGTTTGTTAGGATACGACAATAATTGGCCGAGATACAACTATTTGAAAATCTGAGGGAGTCTGAGGGTGCAAAAAAATCTAAATATTGAGAAAATCACCTTTAAAGTTGTCCAAATGAAGTTCTTAGCAATGCATATTACTAATCAAAAATTAAGTTTTGATATATTTACGTTAGGAAATTTACAAAATATCTTCATGGAACATGATCTTTACTTAATATCCTAATGATTTTTGACGTAAGAGAAAAATCGATAATTTTGACCCATACAATGTTTTTTTGGATATTGCTAAAAATATACCCAAGCGACTTAAGACTGGTTTTGTGGTCCAGGGTCACATTTATGAAAGATTGGCTTGTATGTCGGGTATCCCAGCAGTCATCAGCCTGTGCTGAGTCTTTTTTCTTCACCTTTTGTGAAATCACCCCCTTTTCAAAGTCAAAACAGGTGGCTGAAGTTTTAGTGTGAGTGACATTTCTTGTCACAAAGTCAGGGCAGCAAATTAGCAGATTGGATCTAATCTATCCCTAACCAGCCGGCTAATAAGCCGCGTGTGTGTTCTCTGGAGCTGATCGATCCTGTCTCACACCTCTCGCCCGCTCACACTGGCTCTGCCAGGGACACGGACACTAATGGCCACATTTGCTCCAGCCCACCGGTACCGTGTTCCCGCTCATGATTTCCCGACAATTAGCGAGGCGAGTGGACGCACCCTGTTCTCATCTCTGCTGTCGTCCTTTCCACCCTGGACTTCCACTTAACCTGCTCTCTGGGGTGAACGGTAGATGTGAGATATTATGGGGTTTTGATTGCATTCACACGCACATAAACACCTTGAAGTCTCTGTTGGGCTCCGTGTGGTCATTAGACAGGTGGCAGGGCTAAATGGACAAATAAAACTTTGCTAACACTTAGCCTTCTTTAATAAGTCATTATATAAATAATTCTAAACATTATATAATTAAGCAGTGAGTTACAAGAGACATTATTATGAATTTAGATGTGGCTAAAGGATTTTGCACAACATGCATAGACATCCCAGCAACCACTTCTGACCTAACTATATTTACTATATAGCATGACCTCAAGTGGCTTATTGCTTTTATAAAAAACAAGAACACAAATTTACATTAAAACTGTATTTTATTAAGTCAATTTATAGTCCCTGAAATGTAACTAAAGTTATATTTAGTTCACTCTAGAAAGCTAAAGTTGTTAAAATGTTTTATAATGTTTAAAAACAATCAGACATTCATATGCATTCAAATATTAATTTAAATAAAAATATTTGAATACTTAAATATAATTTTTTTAACTTCTGTAGATTATCTGTTGAGTATTATATTATTTAATATTGAATTTGTAAAAAAAAAAATTGACTAATTTTTTTGTAGCTATATATTTTTAAATATATTTGTATAAAATGAATATTGTAATTATTTTAATATTTTATTAAAGTAATATTTTAATAATTTTTTCATTTCACAAAAAAAAAAAAGTCAGGAAATTTCCCACATTAACAGCACTAGTCAACTTTTTTCACATTTTTTACACAGAAGTTCATGATGCCTTGATATCGCACACAAAGAGGGCTGCGTTTCATTTTGAGGTTTTCGGTTGGTCTTTGTTTCAAAGTCAATGCCCCGATTTGGTCCAAAAGTGTAGACATCCAGGCATCAACTGTTGTCCCTCCTGTCCTTTCCTCCTCTCGTCTTCTCCTCGTCTTTCTCCCCCTGTGCAGGCGTGATAAGGGAGCTGCCCTGTGCTCTCGGGTCATTAGCCACGGGCCTTCATAGTTTCATTAACGAGGGAAGGGAGCTCATCATTGGCCTACCTCAACTGACGAGGGTAATTAGTTAACTAATAATGTGAAGCCATAGTCATGGCTCTTAAATGCCCATTGATGACAGTCAGATCGGAAGCCAGGCTTTCCTTGCCTATTAGCAACACACAGAGATTGCAGGCCTCATCACTGAAACCACACACTGACATAATTACACGCATCACACTCACACACACACGCTCTCTCTTTAGTGCCAGCGCCTAATGAAGGCATGTTGTATTTGGAGAAGTCCTGAGGACCTGAATACTGATTGCGAGTGCTTGTTGGTTTATGTGCTCATTTTTTGGAAAAGAGACCGCAGTGTTTGCGTTGCGATGTCTGAAGTTTGTTAGCCTGCTCAAAGCATGAAAATACAGCTTTCTTTTAGCGCATTTGTTGACATATAAGGTCATTTGAGAGAATGGAGGCATTATCTTTAACAGATATCTGGATTTCCTTTATCTTTAGGTGATGAAATTCGAGGATATTTTCTCTTGTTGTTAACATCAAGGTCAACATACTGTCATACAGTCACCTAGCTTGATGTGTTGCATGCTGGGTGGATTAATTAATTTAGAAGAGCTCTGCCAGTTTTTCGAAGGTATTAATTTTTATTTTGGGCTTTGGCAATTAAAATGGACCATAAGATTATGCACATCACATATGTGTCTGGAAGATCTGTTAGAGAGCTGATGTGTTAGAACAGCTGGGATAGTGGAAAAGAAATAGACCAATTTAGGCAACATACACCTGCAAGACAAAATCTTGTTGCCTTGCACACATTCAATGAGTTATATTTTGTTTTATTTCTTTTTATTTTGTGTTTTTTTTTGTTTATTTGTTTGTTGTTGTTGTTGTTTTTTTTCATTTGTATAATGCACGCTATTCTCTAACTAATCCCAAACTTTATTTATTTAGATCCGGGGTTTTCAAACCTTTTGATGTCAAGGACCCCCAACTATTATGTGCCTTGTCGGCAGAGGCTATTTACACTAGCTCTGCCCACCAATGTGTGATTGGGCTAGTCAACACTACAAAAGACGATCGTATAATAACAGCTCCAGTGGTGTAGGTGGTAAAGCATGTGCTGTAGTCATTTTTGACATGATTGAACCGAGTTCGAATCCGACCTTTTGCCGAACTTTTTTTTCTCCCTTTTCAAATCTCATATCACATCGGAAAGGCAAGAAAATCCTGCTAATTTAACACAGTGTAAATAGAATCTATAGCTATTTTCACTTAGTGTAAATAGCATCTATCGCTAAGAAAATATGCTATTTTCACATAGTGTAAATAGCATCTAATTGAAGCTCCAGAGAAGAGCAAGCAAGCGCCTATAATATAAATGGACAAATAGAGGTTGACATGGTGAGGACAGATTGTCTACTATGCCCTACAAGAGCCCCTCATAGTGCTCATAGTCAATCCAAATAAGCCGTTCATGTGCATTTACCACTATACTTACCCTAGGCTCCGTGTGCACGATGGAATGTATACATGCACCAGTAATCAGTCTGTCAGACACTACATGCCCTCCCGGTCATCTGTGCTTTCATTGGGCTTAAATAAAGAGCGGCTGCATCTCTCAGGTGGTTGAGGCTTTGTTGACACATTGTGCGCACGACACCGTGCACAATGTTAGGGTTGATATTTCTTACCGTGTCAGTACCGCAAACCCATGGATCCTTCATTCTGGAGCTGTACTTAATTTTGATGCCCGTGTTTGCAGTTGGTCTGTCACTCTTGACGCCCACTCTGTGTGTTCTGTCATGAACAGACTTTTAACCGTGCATTGTGGAGGAGGGCGAAATGTCAGTCAGCACAGCAGGAAAATTATCAGTAGAAGGCGGCAGGGAGCTGGTTGGGGGGTGATCAGGGGGAAGTGCCCTGGGTAGAAATGGTTCGATGATGAGGACCAGATTGGAGTGGCAAGACAGTAGGGGAATGATGAGGAAACAGAAAATAAAAACAACTTTTTTTTTTTTTTTAAAGAACTTATTCTTTTTTGCCCGAAGGCAGTGCACGGCATGCCTTTGCAAACATGTAAACATCAAAAGCGCTCTCTCAAAAAAACTACAGCAGCATTAAGGCAGTACATTACCAACTGAGATGCACAAACACTGTGATTTCACTGACTGAACAGAGTGTTTGTTTTAGTCCCTTTCATTTTTCTAACAAGAGATATATTATCCTTATGAGAGCTCTGATAGTTTGTCTGCAAGGTGACACAAGCCAGATATGAACAACACTGTTCTTATGCCCTGTGGGCAGGACATTTGTAATAGTCGGACAGTACCTTGATGCAATAAGTGGTCTTATTAGTACTGAAACAACATCTTTTGTGCTCCATCCACAGGTAGAATGTAAGAAGGCCCAGCCGAAGGAAGTGATGTTTCCTCCAGGGACGCGGGGGAGAGCCAGAGGTCTGCCCTACACCATGGACGCCTTTATGCTGGGAATGGGCATGCTGAGTAAGTGTCATCTCAATTTCCTGCTTACAATTATTCATACGTTAACACTGTCAATCACTGCTGTAATCTGATCATTGACTGGGGTGCTAATTTCAAATCAGCACGAATCTGCATTCAGCCCATTTTACTTCTGTAATGCAGCTTAAAAAAATGTAGACGGGGGCTTTATTTTAGCTAACGGGATTTGATTGGTTTGTGAAAAGCGGGTATTACATATAGACCAGCACAGGTAGCTCACTGTGATCTCTATATGACCGGTGATTGTAGAAGAAGGGTTGAAAATTAGAGAGTAAAAAAGTCAAGTTAAGTTCTTACATTTTCATAAAAGATTTCAAAGACAAACATTTTATTCTTTGGAATAATGTGCACCACTTAATCATTGAAAGTATGACCAGGAAAATCTAATATGAAAGTAAATGGGTTAAAATTTGATTTCATGTTGATTTTAAAAATACCTAATTATTGGGTCTTGTTCGCTAACCATGTCTCCACGTCTATATTTTGTGTAAAGAAAATGTAGAAAACTTGTATTTATTCATTGATAAGTTAACAATGTTTTTCTATATGTACAATAAAAGAACTCAAACCTCATGTACACAAAATTATATATGTTATATTGTATAGTACATTATATTTAAATAAATAACAAATTAAATATAAAATTATATTTATATAAAAATATTTTAAAATCTAAATATTAACAGTGAGTAATATATCTAAAACTGTTTATTTAATCACCAAACGGACATAAGTGTGCTTCAAGAATGAACAATGTGACATAAATGAATTTGAAGTTCGGTGTTTAAAAAAAACAGAGCAAAGGGAAAGAGAAAGTGCGATATTTCAATAATATTTTATAAACAACTGAGTAAGAACATATGTCTGAGTTGAATCCATATTATTATACACAATTGTATATATTTATAATTTTTATATAAAATGTATATTTATTACTGAAAACACTTTTATTAGTGCAAAATCTTTAGTGAATTATTAGAAAATTATGTGCTCACTGAATCTAGATCCAGTTACTCACTGAATGTGATTTTAGAGCAAATGTTGTCTCATGCTGACCTCAGAGACAAATGGTCGTTTCAGAATGATACTCGTAAATATGTGTGTTCACGCTTTAAGCATAGATGCTGGGCTTGATGGCGTGGAACAAGTGCATAACTGTAAACTCAGAGAACAAAATACCAAATCATAATGTTGGAACAGGCAGACAGGGAGAGGCAACAGCCCATTGAAAGAGCTCCTCGGAGAGAGCACTGGGACTGGCGCTCCGATGCTGGCACTGCGCTCGCGTTAACATCGCCACGCTCTGCTAGCGGCTCTACGACTGCCATGCCAGTTGAAACTCCTCTCCATTTCTGCTGGGAGCCCCGCTTCAGAGTCTTCACGGATATGACACGTGCGTGCTATCACAGAGACAAGCGCTGGAACCCGTCAAACACCAGAGCCATCATCCTGACACCAGCAAGAGCTTAATTACTGTGAGATTGATCGTCTGCTGAAAGTAACTGAAGCAAATAAATCGTTTGATGCCTGGTGCAGAATGCGAATGGCAGCTAATGGGTGAAGCTGCAGGAGAGGTCGTCCTGCCCGTAATTTGACTTGATGAAGCATCCTCGCCGGGCACGCATGAAATATGCTATTGATATTCAGCCAGCTCCGCTTCCAGCTCCACCAAATCCCTGACTGACCCTCACCAGGGCAGGGCTCCACATTATAGTGCTAAATGAAGAGGAAAATGTAAGTAATGTTGAGTTATGAACCTATGATTTCAACAAACTGACCTCAAAGGAGGACGTATGTGTCCGTTCGTTGGTTATTCAGTGTATGCAAGCGCACGTTGAGAGATCGCGCCAACGACTGGCGCCCTCTAGCATTTTAGGAGTCTATGATATCATTCGGCTTCACAGTGCCAACAGCGCGATGTCAGCTCAAGTCGACTCGAGTCGAGGTTGATGAAATTACACCGCAAGTGGGTGCCATGAGCTTATTAGGGTTTAAAGCAGATCAGTGTTGAACAAACAGAAAGGGAGGAAGACGGAGACAGTGGGAGCAGAGAGCCGGTTAAAGGGGGTCGCGCTCACTCGATCGCAACACCGTCTTATCTAAATGAAATTGGAAAGCAGGACAGCGAAACATTCCTTTTGGTAATTTGCATACAAAAATCAACAAGGCTCATTATTTAAGGAACCGCAATTCCTTATGTGCCGAAATCTCATTAGAGCCCCGCTCTGAGCAACGGTGTTTACCACACCTAATCGAGCTATTTATCTTTATTGTGCTGGGCCTCATGTATGTTTGCTAAAATTAATACACATCTCAACCAGCGCAAAGTGCAGCTTTACCAGATGGATAATTGATTTTACAGTGAATCGAAACTGTTGAGCCATAAAATGGGCACATTAGCATGCATATTAATAACGCAAATAAGAGGGCGAGGCCGTCGCCACTAGGCCAGATTAAGTGACAGTCTTTATTTACAGCGTTGCCGGGAGACGGAAGGTGTCTGCTGTGGTGGCGGCGTGGCTTAATGAGTCTTCTCCTCAGGCTCAGGTACCTCTCTTTCTCCCCCTTGCGTTTAGCGTCGTCTGGCTCGTTCTCGTCTCCCGCTGAGGGGCCGTGACTGCAACATGAAGTCTTGCCACTTGTTATAGGACGTCAAAGCTACGGCGGTCTGGTGGTTTTGGAGCTGGTTTCATGGTGTGGCCCTTTGTTGAGCCCACCGCTCAACACTGAGGCTTTGCTCGGTCATTAAACACAGAGGAGAGCCATTTAGGCCTGACAATTGAGCTGAATACTTTTGACGAGGAGGTGGAGGAATGTCTCTGGGAAAAATTGGTACCCTACGTGATTGTTTTTCTGTGTTTAGCTGAGCCAGAAATGGCATAAAATGACAAATACAGCCTTATTGTGAGCTTTTGTGTGAAAGCACTAGTGAACAGCAGGACATTATTCTGGGTTCAAGTTGAGGGTGTAGCTGTATACTTTAAGACTATTTTCATACTTGTTTATTTGCTTAGAACAAACCTGAGTTTAGACCTAGCAAATAATATATTCAAATAATAAATTCAAAAATGTTTAGGGCCAGAAAGGAACTAATTCTTTTTTTCCAGCAAGGATGCATTTATTTTATCAGAAGTGACAGTATAGGCATTTATATTGTTTCTATTTCAAATAAATCTGATACTGAAGACTGGAGTAATGGCTACTGAAAATTCAGCTTTGCTATTACAGGAATAAATCTCATTTTAAAATGTATTAAAACAGAAAAGTAATTTTAAATTGTAATAATATTTCCTAATATTATTATTCATTATATATCCCATTATTATTATTAATTTCCTAATATTTTTGATCAAGTAAATTCAGTCTTGTTGAGCAAAAGATATTTGTATGAACTGTACCGCACAACACCTTTTGAAGCAGACTCGGGGGAATTCAGAAAACTGAAAAGTTGTAGACCTTAAAACACTGCTGATTTCTCTCTTCTGCGTTTTGTTCCCATAGGTGATGGCCCTACAAGTATGTTAATCACCTACTGTCAACAGAGCCCCATCCCTCTACATTTAAAGTAATCTCTCTAAATGTCACAGGAAAAGCCCATGTCATGTATATTTAGTTTGGGCGTCTGGCATTTGCTCCTCCTTAAGAGTAGAGTACACAGAGCTGCTGTAGTCTCGAGAGAGACGGAGGAGCCCAGATATTAAGGCTTCGCAAACATATGATACAGCACTTGGAAGGAGCGAAGTTAAAGATGGCCACCTTGCTGCAGAACATTTAACCGTGTAATTTGGAGGCAAGGTTACAAGGTGAAGTTTTTTATGGTGCAGAATGGATAGAGAGAATGGTATATCCTGAAAAATCGTCATATCCCTTTAAGGAGAATGGGTTCTGCAACATTTTTCTGTATACTTCAGGCAGTAGTGTATTTAATACTTTTATCCCATCCTCCTCCTCATCCTGATTCCCTCAGAATTGAACTTTCCTCAAGAATGGTCTTTGATTTTAAAACCGACTCTGTGGTTTACATAGCATTTACCGCAACCAGCACAAAAGCCTCCTTTCAGAACCAGTCAATAACGACAGAAAACTTCATAAAAGCGAGTTATTTCTTTTAAGCCTCTACTATAGCGCTGACACTCACCAAAGAAACTTTGACAGGATCAATATCTTCACATAGACTACTTCCCACCAGTCTGCCTCTGCAATGTCAAACCGAATTGATCCGAGTTATGTCTAGCCTAACTTGCGGTGGAGTATATTTATTCTCTCCAGCACCAACTCACATTTGTGGCCGAGAGCCAAGGATAAGCCACTAGCGATCATTTGGTGCAAGCTCACACTGTGCACAGCCAATAACTATTAGCGAAACTTTTAGGTGTTTGGGAGGGAAGAAACAGGACTGGTGGTGAATAACACACTTTTTGTAGAGTCCTCAAAAAAGAGGATGGCACAATAGAGTCTATATATATATATATATATATTGTTTTCACGTGATTATAGCGGCCTGCTCCCTCGGGCGTTTGCGGCAACAATATGGCTGATACGTTCGCTTGCGTTGGAAAACGTTTTTTCCTTCTGTTTGAAAGCCGTCCAGATAATTAGTGTTTAGGCTCACACTGTAATAAGCCATTGTGACAGAATAAGAACAATGGGTCTTTGGGCTCTAGCCTGGTAAAGAGGGACATGCGGCGGCCCGCCGCTCAATGCTGGCAGAGAGACAACTCGAGCATGTGCGTTGGGTCGCATCCCACTTTTTCTTAACAGCACGAGCAGGATGCGTTCCAGTGTTGTAAACGCTGCTGATGGCGTGTTTTTTTTCCTTGCTCCCAAACAAGATGTATTTCAGATAATAAAATAGTCAAGGGGAAGCCAGCTCACTCGCCCGAGCGTCATCATTAAAAAGTTCTGCCTCAGCAAAGACGGCGAGAGGCGGAAAAAACAGATTGCGGCCTTAGTGTGCTTTTGCAGTGTTTCGCTCCACTTTCGAATGACTTCTGCAATCGCTCAATCATATTCGTGCCATCCTGTCAGTATTAGCGCGCAGGAGGCCGAGGCTGCGCGGCGCGGAGGGACTTTAATCCGTGATGTCCTGCCACAACTATCAGCCTGCCATTGTCTCGCGCTGTCGTGTCCTTATGATCGATTAGCCCGGGCTATAAAGAAGGGTTATCGATCAATGACAGTGGAGAGGTGAGAAAAAAAGGAGGGAGGGAGAGAGAGATGACAGCCGCAGACATGTCCGTTCCCTCAGCGAGGGGAAAAAAGGGATGAGCCCCAGGGAATGAAGCGAGATTGTGTCTTGTGATGTTTATGCTGTTCATCACTGCAAAACTGAAGTTCGCTAGCCAGCTAATCTGTTACATTGCAGCCTGGCGGGGAGGGCTGCGGTTATGTGGTGAAAGAGGAGCCGCTTCCACTTGCGTCTCGCTCATATGTGTATTTTAAATGGCATGCTGATTTATTGGTGTGATAGGGAAGCTCTGGGCGGTCTGAGCGGTTTATCACATCCCTGGATTTTCTTCTCTCCCCTCAGGTTATCCAAACATTGTAGCAACGTATGGCCGAGGATACACTGGTTTCGCCCCAAGCTACAGCTACCAATTCCCTGGTAAGTTCCATCTTGTTAAGCTCTGTATGGTGCTTCTCTCTCCTGCTGCTGTCTGGTAATGGCCTCCCTGCTGACCGGCAAACTCACAAACACCAACACGCACCCGTCCCTGTCTCTCGCTACAGCCCCATGCTGAAAACTTTGCCGTGGCACTTTATACTTAAATACACATTGACATACTCAAACATTATACATCTTGATGTACAAAGACACACACATATTGCCTTGTTCGGCTCCCTACTGAAGCCCCACATCCACATGCTTGTAGCTTTACAGATAACACTGCCACACAAGATGCTTTTAAAACCCGTGCGAGCTACAAACGAGCTCGTGGGCATCTCGTTTTCTCTTTTTTTCACAGATATAATTCATACGTTCAACTATACAATACAATTCAGCAGATCGCCAAAATCTTGACTCAGGAAGGTTTTTGGCCATCCCGACAAAGACAGGTCTTTTTGTCTGGGATAAATGTGATGCAGCAAAGCAGCTATATTATTTCATGGCTCAGTTCTCAGAACTGAGCTTTGATAACCCGATGGTCCGAAACAGAATCAAAACGTGCATAGTATATTTTAGTATGATTTTCTGCTCACTGGATTATCTGGTACTACTTTAATTGCACCGTATGTATTTCTGATACATGTGTGTTTGTTTTTGCATCTCTACTGAAAAAAAACGATGGTCTAAGCCAGTCTGGGTAGCAGGTTTAAGCTGGACTCTGGTCTAGGCCAGATCAAATAAAAAAAGTTTAAAAACATACAGTATAAAAAAATACAAATTTGTCCACCCACTACACCAGGTCTGCCTAAAAGTAATATGTGTATATTTACTTTTAGGTAGACTTGGTTTAGTGGGTGGACAAATCCATGCTGTTTTATTGTCTTTTTTCAGCAAGCACAGCACTAGTCCATGTAGATGTATCTGCTGTTTGATGCTTTGCATTAATGTAAAAATTATGCATGGAATAATTATAGAATTATAGGAACTTCATATGAATACGTTCTTCATAAACAGCTCTTGACAATTTCAAAATGCCATTGTGTTCATGCAATTGATCCGCAGCTGTACGTATGTAGCCTCCCTCATCTCTGTGCAATCAGAGTATCTTCAAGAGGGGTTGCAACCTTATTTATGTGCATACAGTTTTCATGTTTGTCAGTCAGGCCCTCACTGGCGATGAAATTCTTCTGTTGACATGGCTGTTAAGCGTAAAGGTGGCTGTTTGACGCATCGAGAACACTTAACCGTCATCCCCTTTGATGCCAGCGCACAAATAAACCTCAAACAATCCGTACAGGCGTCCCAAACTAACCGTTGAGAGCAGACGGAATATTCCAGTGGCGACTTCGATAAATAAACGAAGCGGGGTGGGGGTGGGGGTGAGGGAACGAGAGTAATAGATAATGAGGAAGTGTAAATTGGCAGGCGCATGAGGAAGAGCTGCTGTGACTAAGCCCGTTAGGGGGATTAAAACATCATTGTGGGCTCACTCTCTTCCGCGAGAAGTCTTAGCCCAGCACCATGTTTGCAACAGTTCTGAGCCTAACAACATAGCAAGTCACCTCAAAAATATATGTGTAGACCTATATCTAAACGCTAAACTCCCACCTGATGTTAAAAATAACCGGACGAATAAACACATGCAGGTCCGCCCATGCCAAAAGCCTCATAACTCTAGCTGAATAGCAATCGAGTGTATCGAATGCATATTTTTTGTGATATTGACCCTGGATATAGAGCTGAAGGTCTTGCTGGCATATGACTCACTGGAAAATAGGCTAAAAAAAACGCTCGACTTAAACTACAGTTCTAGAGCAAAAAGGGCCTTTTTTTCTCCGCTCATTTAATCCCCTGGCTTTTCTTGTAAAATGATCTGCCCAGTGCCACTCCAAAAGGGTCCCCTCGCTCTTCCATTTCACATGTTGTCAATGACCTTGGTGTTGAACATATAGGGTGAAAAAGCTTTTTTTCCAGACTGCTCGTAGCACCTGGGATTTACTATAAGCTCGGCTGCAGTGAAGGTTAAAAATTGACTGTTGAAAAGAGAGAAGGTAATTTTTTTTCAAGGCACTTCTTGTAATCCGCACAGGTGACTGGATTTGTAACAGGTCGCAGGGGATGGCACGCGCGTGTTTTCTCCGAGTCCGTGCATGTATGCAAGTTACTGTGGCGATTTTTTATGTAAACAAGAACTATAAATTGCTTATCAATGGCACAAAGCCATGTAATGCTACAGTATGTGCGTATAATCGATATACAGTGTTTGTACCTTTCTAGTCCTCCTCGGGGAACAGCTTTGATCACGGATAGATTTAGTGTTTTCTTTGCCCCAAAGACATAAAGGCTAAAACAACCAATGGTGCTATGGCAGAGTTTCTGAGCAAGTGTTGCTGCTATTGTCATTTTCATACTAACATGTCCTCTGGTAGATAAGATAAGAAACAGCCGACAGGATCAGGCCACCTTCACTGTTATCTCCCCCTTCGCCAGGACACACACGCACACACATTGTTCTTCTCATTTTTATGAGACCGAGAAGGGTGTTTCAGAGGCTATAAATCCACGAGAAACACGTCTAAAGCTCGGTGTCTCTCCAGCAAGCCTGTGGATCCATCGGGGCTTTCCCCAAGCTGTGAGAGAAGATCTTCTCATTTTGGCATAAGTCTGTAGATTAAGGCTGCATTGATCCAGAGGAGCGCAAGTAGAGGTGGTCTTAAGAAAGATAATTTTACAGTGCGACCCTGTTGTTGTTTTGCGGTTTGTTTGTTTTTTTATTCCATTTGATCTCACCCCACGTTGGGTGCCGACCGCTTTTGGTTTTCCAAGCGGTGAATCATCTCTCCTCATCTCCGTTCCGCCGCGATTTCTGGCATTTGACGTGGCTGGTGCTGATGAAAGCTGAAGGATGTTTCAACATCAAGGTCGCCGCCCCTCTCAGCCCAGTCGGAACGGACAGCGTGTTAGAACACCATCCTTTAGCTCTCATTCGTCCATTTATCCTTCTGTTCTCCTCAGGAGGAAGAACAGGGAGAGCTGGAATTGATGCTTCACTTTTGATTAGGGCCCAATCAGTTATGCAAACACGGAGGCTGTCAGGCACGGGGCCCTTCTCCATTCTCCATGGCGCAGCCCTCTGCCGGCCCCGACGTACAGATAACACGACCGGGCTCGCAGGATATTGAAGTGCAAACAAACAAATAAAGATGCCGCTTTGGCTGACCAGAGATGCTCTTTGTGTGGGAGGCGAGAGAGACTGAGAAGGAGAGGAAATTGGGAGATGACAGAAAGAAGGCGTGAGTGGCACTTGCTGAGGGAAGGTATGATATGAGCCCTGCCCCGCTGCGCTTGGCAGCACCTACAGACTTAAGGAAAGCGACACAATTTCTTCTCTTTGACCCATTGTGAGGAGAGGATCATAAAAAGAGGAGAAAAAGTGAGAGAGAGAGAGAGAGCAGATGAATAGGCAACAGTGAAGTCTCCTGCAGCTGCGCTACCCCATTCAGCTCTTCACCCAAATTAGCTCTAATTGAAAAGGCTGCTTATTAACTCAGTAGGCATGAGGCAAACACATTCACCATGTTACATACTCAAAATGGGGACCGCTGAGCCGGACACACACACACGCTTCTTAAAAACGTATCCCGCCACTTCATTTAGGGCTAATTCTTGACTGACGTGGGCTGCGGTGGGCAGATGTTGCGTGTGTTTACGGCGTGCACAATGGCAGAGGTCATTTTGGAGGTCGTCTCGTAGCGATAGATTAGACAGCCTGTCTCATGCGCCCAGCCTGCGGTAATCACGTTGATGACTCATCTGCTGTTCCCCACAGTCAGGCTGAATCCCTGTCATATCCCGCTCTGCACTGCAGAGGCGGCTTAACCAGTACGGGTTTAATTATCAGCTTGTATCAGATCCACAACTCAGACACTGCTCTGAATGGAGCAGCTTCTTTTGCCTTTAGGGAAGCGCTGCAAAATGTCACATGACAGCACAATCACAGCGTATTTGATTTTTAATATACAGTTAAGTGAAGAGGGAACCGGTCAAATTTCACTGTGGACAGGCAGTTTCACTACTCCTGGAGCTCATTGTTTGACATGGTTAATTAAGAGATTATAAAGCAAAAGATGATCAAGCTACAGATGCAGATTTACAGATACGGTGTTTTTGTTCCGACTTAATCTTTCAAGTGACAAGCTACATTTTGTTTCTATTTCTTGGGTGTCTAAAATCCTGCTTTACACAGTGAGTTTTATTTTATTTTATTTTATTTATTGTTGTATTTTTTGTAATTTATTACATGGTATTGTGTTTTTATTTTGGATATTTTTTGTAATTTATTTTGTATTATTTTATTTATCAATAAAAAAATTTTTATATATACATACTTTGTGATATATTGTGATTTTTTTTTTTTTTTGTTATTTGCAGGAAACACCAGTCAAACTTTGCTTTCTAGATCATTTTTATAAACTTTATAAAAGATTTAGATTACATTTTGAAAATATCTGAAGAATGAAAGAATAATTCAAAATCTAATTGTCAGCAATGATGCAGTTCTTGGCTTGCCTGCTTCAGCTAATAACCACTTTCTGAAATGTCAGCTGGGGCCACTTCTAGCTGTCTCCCATTCCTCTGGCCAGATCATTTTTGCACTTGAGCACTGCTCTTATGCTGCCTTACGAGCGCCAGTGAATTCTGAAATCTGCAGCACAGTCTTAAAAATGTACAGTGGGTACGGAAAGTATTCAGACCCCCTTAAATTTTTCACTCTTTGTTATATTGCAGCCATTTGCTAGATGTACATTACTACACAATTAGATTAGCATCAGCCCCCTGCCATTTCTGCCTGTCATACAACCACAGATCAGCCCCCTCTTTCACACTCATCAATGAGACATCCAGTGCCCTCAGATGAGCTTCTTAAAGAATCTGGCCTGATGAGAGGGTGACTTTGCCTTCCTCTGCTGGATTAATCCCTGTGCCCCTCTACCAGA